GCCTCTTTCCCCTTGTTTGACCAACATGACTGCAGTTGAGGAGGCTGGCATGCACCTCTGATAGTTAGGAGGCATCCTCTGAGTACCTAGTGGCTACAGCGTAGGGTTGGCAGCAAAGGGATAGAAAAGAAGCTCTTTCATCAAAATACCTTAAGCTACTTGATACTTTGGCTAGAAGGAATCTCACCCTTTACTTTTATCATGAGCTTTTTGCAAATTATAATTACACGGTTTTATATTAAAGCTGAGCAGAATGTTTAATCGGCTGATTCCTTGAGAACATAGATTCCAAAGGAGGATTAGAACTCAGGGTTGCAGACAGAATTCTCATGATTAAGCATAAGGATTCTTCAGGATAGCAAATGGGAATATATATTTATATATTCAAGTATGAAGCCTGTTTCATTCTTATAAAAATCATATGACAGGGATCATAGAAATAGAGACCTGTAACATCATTTACAGAGCCAGAAGGGGTAAGTGCCTTCCCCAGAATAAGTGTCATGGTATTAAGAGAGGCTCCCACATTGCCTCTAGTTCACTCTGGAAAAGTTGGAAAGAATTACACAGCAATACGTCATGCTGTGCTAGTTGCTCTGCTATACGATTTCCTGTCTTTTTTCTAGTTAATAGGAAATGGTCTGACCATCTGCATAGGGTTTGGCAAACATTTTCCTAAAGTACCAGGAGCATATACTTGAGTCTTTCTAGTCCATGTAGTTTCTTAATTTCTGCCACAAAAGCAGCCACAGATAATACATAACACAATGAGATTAGCCGTTACAATGAAATTATATTTATGAACCCTGAAATTTGAATTTTATTTAATTTTCACATGTCATGAAACACAGCAATACGTCATGCTGTGCTAGTTGCTCTGCTATACGATTTCCTGTCTTTTTTCTAGTTAATAGGAAATGGTCTGACCATCTGCATAGGGTTTGGCAAACATTTTCCTAAAGTACCAGGAGCATATACTTGAGTCTTTCTAGTCCATGTAGTTTCTTAATTTCTGCCACAAAAGCAGCCACAGATAATACATAACACAATGAGATTAGCCATTACAATGAAATTATATTTATGAACCCTGAAATTTGAATTTTATATAATTTTCACATGTCATGAAATATTATTCTCCTTTTGATTTTCCCACCTTAGTAAAAAAATATTTTTAGCTTATGAGCCATTTGGTTTACTCATTGTAATTTTCTAATCCGTCTTGAGATAAATATGTGGCTCTTTTTTCATTGCTTCTTGAGGCTCAGATTTTATTTTTTAATTTTTTAAATTTATTTATTTTGGGGACCAGCAGATGGTGTAATGATTACATCTCTGGACTCCTACATAGTCAACCATGGTTTGAGTCCTGGACCCGGAGGCTTAAATTCATGCGGGGGGCATGTGCATGCATGCTCAAAATCCCTAGAGGAGAATGGAGGAGAAGAAATCATGACTTAGCCATCCCCTCTGGGAGGAGTGATCTTTTGCTTTTTATCTCTCTGCCTCTCTCTGTCTCTCTGCAAGTGCACACACCCTATAGCAAAAAAACTCTCTCTAAAAAAATTATTTCTTTTTTCATGATTAGAGAGCACATGAATACACACAACAGAGAGAGAGAGTGTTGAGAAAGAGAGAAACTCACTTCCAGTGTCTTTTCACACTGTGACCCTCCTTCCCCAGCATTCCAGCCTTTCAGCATCTTGGCACCTGCCTGCCCATGCACCCAGCATATTTTCAGGCCATCCCAGAGATCCAAACCCATGGTCATCTATGTGGTTTCCAAGACTAGTCCAGTACACTATGGACTGAACCTAGGCTAGCCTCAGATTATATGTGATGAGTTTGTAAACTGCTAAAAGTGTATTTGGGGGCCTTCAAAAAGTTAATGGAAAATGTATATTATGGAGAAACTATGCCTGAATTTCAAATTTCTTTTTTCCTCCAAAATAAGTTTGTGCTATAGCAAATAAATAAACAAACAAACAAAAACACCAATAACTAAAAACTCACACTTTAATTCCATTTTCTACAAACTTTTTGAAGTCCTCTCTCTATATATATATTCTATTGTAGAGAAGTATTAAACAGCTTTAGGAAATCCTAACATTATTTTTAAAGTGGCATTTCACTGTCTAACAAGATGATAGCAACCCTTAACTGAGATCTCTTGTCTAAGAAAGTAGGCCATGCTCCTCCTGACATAAATATGGTTAATCACACAACTCCATCATCAGATAAGGCTGATAGCTGACATGATTCATGTTACAAATTCTTACTGAAGGTCTGCTATGTGAAAGCATTAAGGGGAGAGAAGAGAAGACGGAGCTCCTCCCTTCCTATAGTTTACAATTCAGTGGCAAGTTCCTAACTAATACAACTTTTGAACACTGAGAAAGCTCTGGAAATTATTCTCAACATTATGTAAGTTAGTGAGACATTTTTAAAGAGCTTCTATAGATGATACAAGAAAGAAAGGAGTTTAGTGTAACTGTTTTAGAGACTTTGTAAGTCAGGATAATTGACGTGAATCAGCCAGGGGCATGTGACATTCTTGCTTGTACACTCGGGTACATGGAATACAGAGCCCCATGTCCCATGTGTAGAGTTATCAGGTCCTTATTGTCTGACTGGCTTACATTGCCCTAAAGGGAACTTTTGTCTTATCCATGTTTCATTAAACAATCTATTTCATCAGAGAAGAAAATGCATTATAAAATTATGTTCTTTTAAAAAGCCCCAAAGATCCCAAGGATATATTTTTACTTTTTTGCATGTGTTTCCACAGATCAATACTGAGCAATTAGTAGCTTCATCATTCTTTGTGTGTTCATTTTAAAAATATCATGCATGTTTTTGATTTGGTATCTCACAGCTGTGGTAAATTGTGCATGGAAGTCTAACAAGCTGCAAAATGAAATCTTTGTCAAATATAGGCATTTGGTTTAATTATGCCTTTGTAACATTATATATTTACATGGTTTTCTAATAATTAAGATGCATCTGTATGAATTCTCCAGTTGCTGTATTCTGCAGCTGAGTTTTTTTAGCTCTTTTATTTTAAGTTATACTTCTAAGAAAGTGCATGAATGACTAGACAAAGAAACATGGAAGCTCAGTCTTTGGCAATCATCTGAAAAGAATAAATCAACTTGGAAAAATGCCTGTAATAGCCTGTGATTTCCTTTCCAAGAACATAGTACCAATTTTATGCTGGTAAAAAACCAATTTTGTACTTTTCTTTATAGTAGATAGAAAATTAGCAGGAAGGAAATGTACATTTTACAAGGTGGCAGTAAAATATTTTCAGTTTAATTACTTCTGTAAGTTTCCCACTATGTGTTTTCTCTTCGCTCGCTTTTCAATTGTGCATGGTTTTCCTTTGAAAAAAAAAAAAATTCCTTCACAGTTACTTTCATGATCATAGACTTCACGGGAAACAGATTTTATATTGAGTTGCTATGAAACAAATTATTATATATGTAAGTAGGCTTTACATGCTTTAAACATGATTTTAGTTGATTTGCCCCATTGATATACACATAAGCAATTATAATTGTAGAAGTCAGGATCTAATAGAAGAATGACTGGACCCAGTCTTTACACTAGACTCCTCGTCTTCATGTTTTCAAGGGACATTAACTCTTAAAACAGTTTTGCAGAAGCTACTTGAGACCTATTTACTT